TACAGCAGTAAGACTTATGGTACAACATGTACCCTGAAAGACTCCTCGTTAACATTTAGAGCGGAATCAATGTTGGTGCTCCCTTCATCTTACCGCCGTAGGAGACGATGAAGCTGACCCAGCAAGGTAGGGTGGTGCCCATGCTTCGTAGAAGCCAGTTGGAGAGCACGGACACGACCAAAATGAGGCACATCACCTCAGCCACGAAAACCAGTGAAGGCGACCTCGCCGCTATCTCGAAGTCGTGCCTGTGCGCAAATAACCTCCACAACAAGGCCAACCATCCGGGTACGACGGTTACCAACGACAGAAGAAGAATCACGGGCACCCAAACCATGCCCGAGGCGTGCTTGTGTCAAGAAGACCTGTGTGTCCGGTCTACTTGGTTTTGCGCATCGACATTCAGGATGCGCCGACACAACGTACAAAATTGACGAGTGGTAATCCTGTTCTCTTCGTCGAAGGGTGTCAGTCAGGCTGTTGGCATCCTGTAAATGCTGGTTCGTCGGAGAACTTCTTTTTTTTTTTAATATGACACAACGAATCCATCTCTATCTTTTTAACCAAGTACTCGTACGTACGGCGTGGAGGAGATGATCACAACTTGTATGTACTGCTGTAGTCAAAGTTACACGAAATGATGTCATGGTCCGACAAGAGATTGACGAGATCCACAACAAAAATTGCGCTCCGTCGCGCTGCATGGACTATAGCCAGGTTGCTTTGAAGCGATGTCTTCAAAATGAGTTAAGAGCAACGCTGGAATGAATATTGCGGAACACGCACCACGCTGCGCGATAGTACATGGTCCGTACAATAGTTGCATAGACTAGTAGTATGCATAGCGTGAACAGCCCGCACACGAAAGGTGGAGGTGGAGTAGGACAGAGTAGGTCGAACTGGGTATTATTTATCAAGATCAACACAACAATGAAAACAGCACCAGCATGATTCCAGTGCTGTATCTATACTCTGACTCGCTTTCCCGAGTGCTGAATGTGAGAAGCTACACTACGGTCCCAGGTGTGGTGCGTGAGAAAAGAGAAAAAAGTTTCGTTGTGTCATATTAAAATAAAAAAAAAGAAAAAAAGAAAAGAGGCAGAAAAAAAAAGAGGCAAAAAAAAAGAGGCAGCGAAGCAGCGAACAGCGGGCAACAATCCCGCCGCACAAGAAATGCCGAACCGGTACATGGCCGTGGTCAGTCGCGTACATACACATACGTACATGGTTCAGCTGCTTCTGCTCCTCGCTGCTGATCTGCTGATACGCGTAACTGCTGTGGCCCAAGGCAGCATTCTAATCATGCCAGGCGTGTACAAAATGGGGTTGGAACTCGTGGATTAAGCACAAGTTGAACAAGCTCCCACAGGCATGCTGTCCACAATGTACATGATCGCCTGGTGAGCTGTTGAGCCTAGCCAAGACGCCAAATCGCCGTGCTACAAGGATACCCATGGGCTACACCCACCTGGAATCACCAAGGAAACAAAATGGAGTGAGATGGCTTGCCGCACATCATACCACACCGCCCTTGTGTACTTTGCCGAAACAACTCTTCTGCCATTGCTGTCAGCTGAAGGAATGTACCCCCACCTTACCACACCCACTCTGATTTGATATTCTCAGCGGGTTACCTCTCTGATGGTCGGAAACGACTTATTGTTTTGAGGCACAGCCCTTCGCAGAATTTGTGTGTGTGGATGATGCGCAAGGGTGAGCGTCCAGCACTTCGTCTAGGTGTACGGCAGTGAAGAACCCGCTACGTTGCGGGCTGAAGAAGTGCGGTTGCCCGATATGGTGAGGATGAAATTGACCGGCACAGACGGAATCAACGTGTTACCTACTTACTTCATTCAGAGTACAGCAATCGTTCGGTGCCCCCTGTGTACAGGGCGGGTGAAAGCGCTTGACGTACTCACACTAGAACGGGCTCACGTACTACACTGCGCACTACGCACATAACCGATACGTTGGGATCCGCACCTCGCAGTGATTCTCATGGGAGGTTTTGGTTGGGTACTGCTGCTGTAGACAGACATGTGTAGGCAGCACGTACGGCGTATACGTACCTATAATGGCAGACCAATGAGATGAAAAGAGAAAAAGCACTCCCGTGTGTCCGCACATACTCCGAAATGTGTCTGCACATATGCATACCCCGTACATACGCGTACCACCCTGAAAATACGGATGAAAACTGAGGGAGATTGCATGCCCTACGACTAAAAGGGTGCCACACACAAAACGCCCGACTACCCAACAGTACCTAACACATTTCTCCTGCACCTTCCCAACATAACATGTATGAGACACACAAGACAGCTATCAAACTGTTTTGTTGAGCCTGTTACCCGCAGGGGAGATGTCCCTATATGCTGTCTGGGAAATCGTAGATAAACAGGTACTTTCTGACGCTATTAATTTATTGCTAATCTGTCTCAGACTCTTTTTCTATGATTGTTGTTGTTGTTGTTGTTGTTGTTGTCTTCACATTATGATAGAGAGGGATGGATTCGTTGTGACATAATATTAAGAAAAATAAAAAAAAGCATCACGGCGACCCAACTAATGTTTTCCTAGGTTGAAAAAACAACACCGCGAAGAAACAATACCAGGTAGTCTACAGCGGGGGGAAACCCGGCCTCCGGATCAAACCCCCCAACAAATATCCATCGTTATCGACAATCTTCCCCCGACGTATTAGAGTACAACGGGACACGAGGCAATTACCCAAAATCATTTGTTAAGCGAACAATAACCTTGGTTATTTTGCGAGCAACTACTCCATTCTCAACGAAGTATGTTCATGATGTCCCATATTCCTCATATATTGCTGAGCAGCTTCCAGCAATATCCCATTCTCCTACACATTTCGCATACCTGCTAGACAACGACATGAACGCGAGGCAGCAATCAATGAGAGTCTAAACTGCAGCGCTAGCAGGACAAGTTGGACATGTGGAACGCGAACATCCTAGAGAAACACGGAACATCCTCCTGGTTCTCCAACACAAAGTACACTCAAAACAGCCAACAAGGTGCGTGAAGAAACGAAGTGCCGGCTTCACCACCACGGTGCCTGTTTCCCCACAGTGCAACGATATACATTGCCCCCCCCCCGGCGTCCCTTCCAGAGTCACCACGGGCCCAAAGTATGGTTGCTCTCCCCCAAGCCCATTTCGACACCGGTAGGGGGCACACGGCCATTCCGCCGTCATCTTTGACTCCACCCTCCTAGGCTGCTTCTTTGGTGCCCATCTCCACCATCTCCTCCTGCTGCTACTGCTGCTGTATGTAGATGGAGTGCCCGGGGTGACCCGCGTGACTTCGGGTGTCCTCTCCCCGCCCGGACTGAGCGGCCTTGCCAAATCTGACCCGACCAAGGCTACAACCAGATGGCCCAGTTCTGCGCCACCAGCTGCTCGTCATCTCTCGTCGCCACGATCAACCGGTGTACCAGCTACTTCTCCAACGGGCACTTGCTCTGCCGTTGTCCAAGGATCCGTCGTGGTTCTCTCTGAACGGGGTATGAACTGCGGCTACGGTTGTTCAACACGAAGACCGACCCACGCCCCCGCTTGTTGCACCGGTATCATCAGCTACCTCACCCCGACCGCGTCCTTCTTCTCACGACCCCCCGACCAGCTTCTCCGGGTTGTTTCGATGGCGCATGACCAGTGTCGTGGTGAAACATGCTGGCCCGGCTAACTAGACGCAAGCACTTTTCCGAGGTCAACAGGCGCACTTGGTGTCCCGTCCGCGGCGTACCCTCCAGCGCCACACAGTTCCTCCTGACGTGATGGTGAGTCTGATTTGACCAGTTCCTCCAGCAGCTGCACCTCTCCCAGCGCTGCCTATCTTGCAGAGATAGTCCGTGTTTCGGAATCCACCAAACCCGACTTTGGCAGGGGCCTGAAACGCCCGCGCACCTTTTAGTCTTCCGCAACCGACGTACCGCTGATGATCTCTGATCAGAAGATCTCTTGATCAGATGTCTCTCGTTCAGCCTCGAACAGATGCACGGTGGCAGGATCCAGTCCGCTCTACCTCCTGCAGTTTGTGTAAACCTATCTGAGCAAAACAAAAGCAGGCACCCCCTGTCGAGGCACGAGCGATGTGCTTCAACCCGAAACCGGCCTCAAATCCGAAACCGACCTCCAACCCGAAACGGACCTCCAATCCGAAACCGGCCTCGAATCACTCCGGTCGAACGCCTTCATGACCGCCACCAGCTCCTTGTCCCCACCTGCAACTGAGAACAGTTGGGCGTCTGACACAGGATAGTGTGGGAGGAGATCAGCAGGCGAGGTCAACGTGGTTCGGGAAACCGCTCATGTCGCAAATTCTTCGCGCGGGTCAGGGTACGTAGCCGATTTTGAGTTCATCCATCGCGAGTGGCGTTGAACCCCTGCCCACACTCGGTCGGCAACACATCGGCCACGTGCCGGAAAGTCGATGTTCACCACAGGTCAATCGGGCAGCATTGGCTATCGGGCAAGGCACCCGAATTCTGTGCACCCTAGAGGTGTTTGCCTGATGTCAATAAAGGTTTGCGTGAGGACGTCACCTAGGCAATACAACGCCACAGACAAACGCACCCTGGTCCAAAGCTATGCGCCTCTGGAACTTGCAAAGCAGATTTTGCTCAAGCATTCGGGCGATCTCGTTCAAGGGCTCCTGAAAGATGCCGACCCGCTCCTCGACACTGAGCTTGTTGAAAGCCTCCCTGCGTTCCGGGTAAAGGCTGCATGGATGAACAACTGGCCAGTCGACTAAAACGAATGCCTTCAGGGACAATCGAACATTGCCGGGACGCCTATTGGGAATGCCGAGCCCACGATACGAACACTCTGGAACTCTAGCGTACGTTGAAGTCGAGGTGGAAATCATGTTGTCCTCATCGCCTCCGCGAGGGTGTTGGTAGACGGGCACGCATCTCGAGCGACCCTTTTAGGACTTGAGGACGCCGGGATACAGTTAGATCCTGAAGGCTCGGAGGATCACCTTGTTCTGAACGTCGCCATGTGCTTGCTCATTGCGCTAGATATGTTGATCTCGTCGGGTGACGTGGGAAGCAGGTACTGGTTGAGGATGTACAGGAAGGAGTTGAACTGTTCTTCGGGGCTCGACATCTGCGGGTTGCACGACATGGCGTGACATGAAGCAGAGGAGACGATCTAACCACAAGACCAGATGGGTATCAACTCCGGAACGATAGAAATCTATGTCTTTCATCAGGACATCATTGAATTGTAGATCCGACACACCGAATGCCCGGGCTTTTGGTACCGCTGAACTCTCTCGCCACATCTCAAGCATACCAAGATATATGTTTCATGTTTGGCGCCGGTCGTTCCCGTGTTCATGCCGCGAGTTGATGTGTTCGCTCCGCGCTGCGTGAAACGAGCATCAACGTCATAATCTGTGTCTCGATGGTGGCATTCGTGAAAGTACGTACGAGGTCTGCCGCAATCCGTTCGTAGCGGACAACGTCGACGAGGAAATCCCAGCTCTCCATGCACAAGTTCTCCCGGCTGAACATTCCAAACAGCTCAGCCATTTCTCCACCATTGCTTGCGATCTCTAACACGTCCATATTCGACGCAGGGAAGGCAACGGTGTCTTCGACAGGAACCACAGTGGCCTTGAACCATGCCTTCACCCCACCATGGTGTGCTCTCACCATGGGAAGGAGCAGGCTGCGTCGATTCAGCAGCCAACACACCGGGCAAAGTTTGCTCAGGTGCGACCGATAGGGGAGTATTGGCATGTTCGCGTGACATCACGGATACGCGGGTGGCACACGGATACGCGGGTGGCACGAAAGAGAATCGAATCGAAAATGGTGTATCCATGCCATGTCGTAGGTCCTCGCCAAGAGGGGAGAGGACCTGACTACATAGATAGCGCGCGCCAGTATTGCGTTCCGCTTGGAAGCCGAAATGCGTACGTACTTATCCCCTCAGGCGACAGTCCATTGTAGTAGTGTAATGTGCCAGACTCTGAAGCGAAGCAAGCGGCTGAAAGGTGTGTTCCTACTGATAACGGTGTTGCGTTTCATCTCACCCCCAATATCCCGCGTTCATCCCCAGCAGGAGTATTAGCACTTCGACAACCACGTGAAGTGCAGGCGTGTCTGGCCATACTTCCAGTTCCACCAGCACTTGGATCACCCAAAGTATAACTGCTCGTCGTGCGAAACAGGGAGTAGATGGCACATAATAGCGTGGTGCGCTAGTTGGTGGATAGTACAGCTTGCCAAGCGGTCGTACCTGGAAAAACTATTGCTAGAACCGTCGGTCTTGGCACGCATTGTGCATAACGCGCAGCCCGCAAGGAATAGCCGCAACTTGGCCGCAAACTTCCTCTACGCTCTGGGGGAATGATTTTGGTGTATGACACCTACGACGACAATGAGACAAAGCGTCTACCTGCATCACAGAACTCGCGATACAGATGGGAAACATGATTGGTCTACAAAGGAAACTTCCGCGGTCCGCATCTGACGATAACCCTACTCTTGACTGGTTCCGGGAAGCCCCCCGAGAGATGGTGTGGAGTGCTATCTCGAAGAGATACGGGAGCTTTGTAACTTTTTGGAGCTAACTTTTGCCCTCTCACCTGCGATGCCGCTGCAGCCCATGATCGTACGACACAATTCTTCACGAAGCTGGAAGGCGTCGTTAACGCGTGATATTCGTATTACCAAAAGGGACACCGGCGCCCCGCCAAAAATGAGTCCTATCCCCACAACGAAGATGTCGTCCCAGTAGAAACACTCGCGCATGTCGCTGCAGAGCAGACAACAGTTCAATTGAGCCGGCAGGTGAAAGGGATGGGATGAGAAACAGTCCATGCCCCCAACACATGGTGCCGTGTTAGACTCGAAACAAAGGCTCAGCTAGCTACACATCATGCCGCTCTTGTGTGCCTGTCGAGAAGTACGTACATCTCATCGGAGCGTACGAGAGGGTAAGGCAAACGCTTGATCCTGTACCTTCATTCAAGCTAGTAATTGTGGAGCAAATGCTGGTAAGACCTAAACGTTCAAAAATATAAACCCCACACCTGCATGCAGACCAACGCCTGTGATAACTCCACTTCGAAGGGTTTAAGCCTGAGACCTTCCATGACCTGACCTTTGCCTACAAGTAGCTCCTATTCCCTTCTTCCCGCCGTGATCACAGCAGCAGCGAAATGGGGACTGTCTTCAAAAACAGCCAAGGCTTCATGGCTGCTAGATGTCTCATATTTCCCGCACAGCTGGCGCCCGCACGCAAGAACCTCTTATTTTTGCCGAGGGTCGTTTCTTATTTTCTCGATGGGGTACCCCTCCAACAGGTTTCAGCGGAGTTCTCTCGAAGGAGCAGCACCCGTTCATGGCCAAGTTCTTGGTTTTCTTTGTTCAGCCTGATTATTATTTTGCAACTCCCCAAGTTCTTGAGTGCGGGTGCTGAACTGTATTCTGGCGGGCTTGAAGCTGTGTGCTCCGTTGTTACCTCGAGTAGTGTGCAGGATCGGTCCCGAAGAATAGCCCGGCTCGGACGGTGAGCCCGATGGAGATCACGGCCCAGAAGCCCAAAGCACGTTTTCTCTTCACGAATTTGGCGTACTTTAGCCGATACTTGCGGTTGTAGGCGATGACCAACCGGATGGCCCGGATCATGTACGGGGTCGTGGCAAACAGGAGTGCTGCGGCAGGGACGTGCCGAAGTAGGCATTGCGGCCGGGGTGATACATCCCGGTAGGGTGGTACAATTTTGGATTGACAACTTACATTTTGAGGGCACACGTGGTGACGAGTCGTCATGTTTCGGTGATCTTCCGGTGATGTACAGGACACTAAATACATGCTTTAGCGCTGCATCGGGAGTGTCAAGAGATCGCTGCAACCACCAGGTTCAAGTAGAGAGTGTGTCTCCCTGTGCCTGAAAGTGTAACAGGAGATGACTCCCCTACTATTTTTTACAGGACTTTTTTTCCCACACATTCCAAACGTTTTTTTTTAGGTTTGGCGTCGCCTCGTGCCAAAAACTGTTTTAGGGATGAGGCATGCGTACCTCCGTTCGTTTACTGCGAAAGAAGGTCATGACGCTCGACTTGCACACATTGGCGTTTTCCATCCCGGTCGTGTTCGTTCAACTTGCTTTTGCAGCCATTCGTCTCCTCCTTCTCCGTCCGCTACTCCATACGGTGCTTTGTTGGTACCATGCACTCCTACCCTCTTTGGCATTGCGATTCGTGACCCGCCGCCCACGGGGGGGGCTTTCAATGCCCTAGCCCTACAGTAGTACGTGTGTTTCGGGTTCAAACCACGTCGTCTGTGAGTTCGTACAGATTCGACGGAGTTAGTTGTGACAGCGGTACGACTTGCGATACTACCCTGAAAGACTCCTTCGTTCACATTCAGAGTGGAAGCAACGTTGGTGTTCCCTTTGTCTTACCGCCGTAGGAGACGACGAAGCTGACCCAGCAAGGTAAGGTGGTGCCCATGCTTCGTAGCAGCCAGTTTGAGAGCACGGACGTGACCAAAATTAAGCACATCACCTCAGCCACGAAAACCAGTGAAGGCGACCTCGCCGCGATCTCGAAGTCGTTCCTGTGCACAAATAACCTCCACAACAAGGCCAACCACCCGGGTACGACGGTCACCAACGAGAGAAGAAGGATCACAGGGGGCACCCAACCCAAGTCCATCATGACACACACGCCGGGTTCGACGACGTAGCAATAAACAAGCACAGTCTACGGCCGGCCGTGCAGACACGATGTATGTGCATATTCAGTCGATTCACGTATTTTGTATGTATGATACGGAGTTGTTGCGATTATTGTTCATTACTGAAGGTACTCCGTCGCGATTGAAAAAAACGTTTCACACAAGTTTCACACACGAAAATATTGCACCGCCCAAGCCGCATCTCTACATAGTCTAATGATGGAGAGATGGTCGGAATGAAGTCTAGTCTAGAGACGTGGACCTCTCTCTGTGGCAGAAGAAATGGTATCCCGTGTTCGGAAAAAAAAACTCTGTACACGAGAAAAATAAATGTAACCGTCGAAACGGGTAACCTACACTATTTGGCAATCGCATTAGTATCGCAGCTTGCCTCGTGCAACCGTGCTGGTCCTCTAGGAGTTTTTTTTTTTAGGTGGTATGTATGCGGTGCTGCAGGTAGGTGTGAGAAGGAGGTGGATAATAATAATGTGGTACTTGCACGAATGCAGATGAATTCACTTATTATTTAATCAATTGTCGTCCCAAAGCTGACCTACCGGCAGAATGGTCTTTTCAACAGAACACAACAACACGCGGCATGCCGCAACATCATGCAATGCGGAAGACGCTCCTGTCAAAGCTTGGTTTACCGTTTCTATTACCACCGTATACCATCCATCCATGCCTCTATTGTAGCAGTCTTAAGGCCTCTCACAACGGCCGCGACAACACACACAGACAAAGATATATATATATGGTACAAGAGACAAGCACATATATAGTCTATATATATTACAATGCCACCAGTGAAATTCCCTGAAGGCGAAGGTTGTCGAAGTCCCTCTATTTGCGCGCGCGAAATATATTTCATGAACAAATAAATAAATGTAACCGCCAAACGCGGCGACGGAATAATAAGCAGCCTCCGAGGGGTAAAAGTGACAGAGGTAGGTGTGCCCCGACCCTGTCCTTGCAGGCTAATCCCGGCCTCGAAGTGGGGAGTCCCGGTATAGATTAGATTTGATGGCAGGTGGACACCTAGACTATATGCATGCGCGTTAGTTGTTCGAGATCGAAGTTATTGTGCAATGAATGCATATGTAGATATATATATATTATGTAGATGGGTGTGTTCCGACCAGGAAAGAGAGAGTCATCAATCATCAACTTGTGGTGTGCGTGCGACATGCGGCGGAATAAACTCTGTAAGGTTGCAGCGGTGTGGCCCGAACCTCTCGTTGGCAGGCAAAACTGGTGGGTACATTGATATTCCAGCGTCAAAGGACTTGTCAATCCATGCTGTAGATTGGACGGGGCTTCAATTTGGTGGAGAATAAGCGACGTTTAGGTTCAAGTTCATGGAGATCGGAGCAGTTCGGTGCGGGAGCTCCTGCTGCACCCTCGTGTTGTTTCATCTCTCTCTGCTGAATGCTCGGCTCGTGTTTCGTGCTTGAGAAGGCCGGTCAGCGACACATCCAAACGTTCACGCAGGAGGCGCCAATCGAGCTGAACCTTGCTGAGGGCGTCTAAAGTAGTGCAGGACCGCCGATGGTACGATCCCTCGCGCCTCGGGCATTCGGATCAAGAACGTGCGTGCGTGGTTCGGAGCTTCGGAGTGAAATGGTCATTTATTCATTGGTTCATTCACATGTTTTTTAATGTTCCAAGGACTGTAACGGTATCCTAGGGGAAATGGAATGATCGTCCATATGTACGGACGGACGTCGAAATTGACTTCCACTGAATGAAGTGGTTCACTGCTTCCATGGAAAGGGTTGAAGTCACTGTCACATCCACGGGGGGAGGAAGTCAATGTCGACTTGCATGGAAGATAGATGGCTCCATGGAATCTGTTTGTCTGTTTCGGGTTCCAGCTTCCACGATGCTTCCACGGAAGCGGCAACTAACTTCTATGGAAGGTAAATCCCCTTCCTTCCATGGAAGTTCATCCACTTCCTCCATGGAAGCACCCGATATCAACCGCTCGTTGCTTCCATGGAAGTCGCATTTCGGACTTTCACGGACGAAGCGCGACGTCGCTCGCCAGAGTGTCTGCTTCTTCCACGGAAGCTCGACGGAGCGTGTGTCTGCTTCTTCCATGGAAGCACGAAAACTTCCATGAAAGGAACTTCCACGGAAGAAGTGGATGACGGAGGTCAAACCCGACTTGCAAACCTCCATGACAGCAATTCCACGGAAGCGTCTGGACAACACCATGTACGTGTTCAATTCTCAGGTCCGTTAACCTAACCCTAACCGTAACCCAAAGCAACGTCCACGGACGCGTCTGGGCTTGTGGTCATTCCAGCTTCCCTACCCTATCCCTAACCCTAACCCACACCCTGCGCATCTCCTCAACCCCCCCAACCCCGAAACGACCGTGGAAGCTAACCCGAGGCGGAATACTCCCTCCCATGGAAGCTGCCCCTAAACCTGTTTTGAACAGCTGCCATGGAAGCCTATAAGGTTCGATTTCCATGGAAGATATTCCACTTCCATGGGATTTCCATGGGACTTCCGTGGAAGTTGACTTCCATGGAGAAAGTGGCAAATCCATATTTCATACCTTGTTCTATGGAAGTGAATTCGATTCCATGGAAGCGCGAAACGACACTTCCATGAAAGTGCAAAACGTGTCGCTTCCATGGAAGAGGTATCAGCTTCCACGGAAGGAAGCAGATCCAACTTCCATGCAAGCTGAGTTATACTTCCATGCATGGAAGCGGTACACGTTTATCAAATAGTGTGGGAGATCGGTCGAAACGCGGCGGAACAGGCTTGCGCGGAGCAGAGAACAACGGCACAGATGTGCACGTATGCATACAGGTAGAGAGAGACACAGCCCTCCCTGCCTCGAATGGTGGCGCCCACCCTGTTTAGATTGAACTTCGGGGCTTTCAATCTGTATGATGGCCAATGCTGGCATTCGTATCTAGGATAGACAATGTTAAACGCCCAAGTTTGAGCGCGATCGGAGCAATATACGGCACTACTACCTGTAGCGTTGGGAGCACTTACTTGCTGTGCGGAGCAACGGTACGGGGGAAGTTCCCCCCCCTCCGTAGGCCACAGAAAATAATTTTCAGGGCATTCGAAAGAAATAAAACAACGAAAAAAGAAAAACTAGCCGAAGATCGGACAAACTGGCATTATTTATTGTGATGAACGGAATATTTTGAAACATACAGATGCCTGTTGCGTGTTTTTGGTATTCTTGGTTCAGTTTTCTGGGAACCCAAAAACAACAATCAAGAAATTGACAGATCCAGCCCGCTTCGGGGTCAGTGGGTACGTCGAAGAGACCTGCCGGCTCTCTTACTTGCTTGGATCGAAGAAAAACCACGTGGCCAGGGCATTCATTCATTCTGAAGTCCGTTCACCAACAGTCTGTTCGCGTTGTTGGTTGTGCTTCTTGGAGAAGAAACCCCGACAGAAAGGAGACGAAGCAACTTGCTCTCCGACTAATCTAACCACCCCGTGGTGCGAACTGCTTAACCCTCCTAGTACTGGAAGCCCAAATATGGGGACACGTTGGGGACACAGCACTCAAATGGCTGTTTTGCCGTACCGTAGTCATCCTAGGCTCCGCTGTGTGAAACGCACGTGAGAACCATCGGTCTATCATGCTTGGCTGAGGTGGTAGGCTGTGTAATATGCTGCGTGATGCCTCTCCTCGGCCTCTGACTTTCAGTAAACTATCTCCCAAGCCGCGTGTCCCCTAGGTCGTAAAACTGTACATCGCCTGATGGAAGACCTTGCTGACTGGGCTTCAGTATGAAAAGTGTCCCCACGTGTTTTGGGAAAACTTTTTATGCTGAAGCCAAGTCACGCTTTGTCTGGCAAGGCGCTCAGCTTCCTTGGAGGGACTGTAGCCCCGCGACCAATGGCTGACAAACATTTTTGCGACATTTTTTATTTGCGGAGGGACTGGGTAATCGGAGGATTGACCGCCGAAAAAGCTCCTATTGATGACCGCAGCAATTTCGACAGCAATTTCGACGTCAACAAACTCGTACCGCCCAAGACAGGCGTCGGTTAGTCTACCCTGCATCTTAACGCAAGCGAACACGAAGCCGCCCGAACATCGCACAACCGCAGTTCGCCCAAACGCCTACTTCCCCCAACCACATCACACCAAATTACACTATTTAAGCTGACACCACTGACCGCAACTGAACAAAAAGAAAAGAGAGAAACAAACGGTCGTTGATGGAGCAGCGCCGACAACACATCACTACAAGGGAACATATCGCACTACCACACTTCTCGACTTTCCTCCGAGAAACGGTTTAGTGCAAACGCGTACCGAAAACAATGTTGTTTTCCCCCAAACCGCACCTCTTGCAGCTATAAATACACTTTTGACAGAACCGGGGCGGCAGCATGCCAAAAAGATGCCGAAAACAAGACGAAACACGTCGCATATAGAGATGCACTTGGGGCATCCGATGATACAACAAAACAGCAAACGTGGACTACGGCCACGAGGGGACCAAACCAGGCAAAAACTACGTTAATTATTGGCATGGAAAACTGGACAAATGATAACAAGGAGCCTGGAGCAACGCAGGTAAAACTAGATCATTTACACAGGCGGTATAGATACGTACAGACCAGTATAGATATACAGACCAGTATAGATACGTACAGGCCAGCTATCGTTGTTCTGCCGCGAACACCGGCTCTTCTCAGAAAAAATCTATGTCGGGTTAAGGGTTCCGGGAAACCTGCCTGCCGGACAGCTTCCTAGCGGGGCACATGCCGGTCGCTTCGGGACGTTCGGCTTCGATCCATGAAACACACCAAAATACGCAGGAGTCTTCGCGGGCCGACCCGATCCCTTGTACCCATGAAGCATCACGCCTTCGGGCTCCTGTGCATCGCCAGAAGGATTATCCGAACGGCTGCCCGAGGCGGCAAACGATTCGGGTCGTTTCAAGTGCCCCCTCCCCCGCAAAATAAACAGCGGGCCATGCTGCTAATCGTACCCGCACGTGGTTTTGCTGTTGGCTTCAAGAGCTACCTCGCTTTCGGTGGTGTCTTCTCCAGCCCTGCCACGAGAGCGTCAGACAGCAAACATGATGCGTGACAACCGAGAGCAGGAGGAGGAGGAGGATGAGGAGGAGGAACCCAGGCGTGTGCGTCTGTGGGCCGTCGGCCAGATAAACTAGCACGAGAGCACTGACGTCGTGCTAGTGCTTACACATCGCAACATCCGAATCCGCCATCACCGACAACAAAGAGGCGGGGCAGACACAGGCACCGGCACCGGCAGCTGAAGCCGTACGCGCGAACTTTCCAAACCAGCTACTGTACATAGCTCTACATCTTAGGAGGCGTTATTTACTCACGGCGGGGAGTATCGACAGACCAGGATGTCGTACGTCAACCCGTCCTTTTCGCACGCTCTCAAAGCGCACCCTATCTGGGTGGTGGATTTCCACAGCACCTGGGTGGCGCGCGGGCCGTAGGTGGACGTGGGCCCGCCTCCGACCTGGCTGTCGTCTGAAACGTTGGAGTCGACCGAATGCACGTGGCAACGGTGTCAGGAGGGGGGCGGCGGGGGATTCTTCTTTCTTTTCTTCGCTGCCGGCATGCTTGATTGATTGACTGCCAGCGCAACCTCACCATTCGAAACGCACAGAGCGTCCGACATGAACCGCGTTCCTGCCCCACGTGCAGAGAGGGACGCCGCCACTTACCGGATGGCTGCAGTCGAAGACGCTTCCGCCGTGCGTTTTACTGCCGCAGGGACGTGCTGCGTGCGCAGTCACCTTTTCCGCCCCCACGGGCGCTGTGGCCACTGCCTATCATCTACAGCCAGTAGCCATGTATAATAGATCTTGTTTCTTCTTCCGTCGTGTCCACATTACCGTGGTACATCAGTAGCGGTGGAAAGAAAAAATAGTGCTACAGGGGCAGCACTTGACACGATCACTATAAATAAAGAAGAGGTCGACACACTACGACACCGGCAACGACAACGTAACGACGCGTGGGGCGATTCTAAGTCCATAGGCGAGAAGACCCAGGCCAAAACAATGCGTACGTTCGATGGTCACTCTCTATCTCTCTATCTCTCTCTCTCTCTCTCTCTCTCTCGCCCCCCCCCCCCCCCCCTCTCTCTCCCTCCCTGCCCGCAGCAAGGTTATCAGGACTCACAGAACGCCTCCATGGCACTCTCGGGCGAGAAGCACGCAGCGGTAGGGGCCCCATCTCCCGAAAGAGACGATGAGGCGGCGCACACGAATACGTTCTCCCCGAGGCCCGTGGAGTGTGCGGTTTCCGCCGACCCGCACATGGACTCGCTCGCAAGGAGGTCGGCGTAGGTCTGCGCGCCCGACAAGACAGGGAGCGGCCAGGCGCGCGGGGGGGGGTGTACTCATAGTCGTGCATGCCGTAGTTGTTAGACCATTGACCTCGCATCCCTACAAAGCCGGGACGGAGCACGCCGGGTTCTCACCGGACCAGGCTCTCACATCACCAAGCGCGAAGCGCCGTGAGGTATTTGGCGAGTCGCATGAAGGGTGAGCTGCATCCTGCTAAGGCTGTTGGGCATCTTGTGCTTACTTCCTTGCGTATGACTTAATTTATTTTCTGGTGCTTTCACCTCCAGAGACAGTTGTAACCATTGTGTAACTGCCTCGAGGATGCTTGACCATTTTAACAAAACGTGGTGCGATCATCCCCCTTGCGCGGAGTGAGGGTTCTCGACCCCGCACAACATGATCTACTCGACCACCATTATGGTTACCGCAAAAAATAAACAGAGGTAAAAAACAAAACCGGTAACCTGGTTGCCGAGTTCACGAAGTGAATTGGCTTGTTTTACAACGTCGTTGCCAAGCGACGAAAACCCAACCCCGATGACAATGACAAACACCGGGGGGGGCGGCATGTTTTACAACGTCGTTGCCAAGCGACGAAAACCCAACCCCGATGGCAAACACCGGGGACGAAGGGGAGAAGGCCAGGCGCGGGGGGGGTGGGCAAAACTGTTGAGCCCCAACTTCTCTTGCTGCGCTTGTTGTCGTTGCTCCTGCTGCTAACTCAGCCTTCTCTGGACGTGGTGAACGTCAGCAACCTTAGCCCAACACTTGCGCCCGACTCTCCCAAGCTCTCCGCCCTCGCGCCCAAGATCGACGCCCTGAACGACCACTTTGCCGGGTCACTTGCTTGCAGCAGTCCACCGTAGTTTGCGTACCTATACCAAACCCTATTTGCTCCTCATTGTATAGGCTTTCGTGCCGCATTCTAAACCCATCCAATGCCCTTTCTGACAAGGCTAAATATAGTGGCATTCAATAACTCATGTAGTACGGGGGTGTAGCCGATGTGTGTGATGACATTTGCTCACCTTTGCCGTCGCTGCAACTGGCTCGGCGAATTCCAGGGGTCCCGTGGCGTGCATGCACCTGCGTCGCACATGGAGAGAGAAGCAACGCCTTGTGGACAAATTGTGATACACAACAGCAGTAGCGCACGGGAGTTGAAGTAGCCCCGCACCTAGCCTCCTTCTGCCACCCCGTCCCCTCCCGCCAAATGTTGAAAGATTCCGCTATCTATCGTCAAGAGTCTCCCATCCGTCTGCAGATTCGAACGAACGGCGCTACATACTTGCACCGCTGTTGATGATCATGCGGAACCGTGACGCGCATCTCAACAACAAAAACATAAAGCTACAACGTATTTCGTGTCCGGTATCGTTCCGGGGGTCCCGGCACCCGATACTTATCGTTGACGCCGTATCCCCACGCCGACAACGGGCAAGAGTTTCCCGAGCTCAGGCATGCGGCCCGAACGGATGGCAGCAGCACCGAGAGCATCAACAGTAGCTAACACAACGCCAACAACAACACCAACAAAAAAAAAACGGTGGCCACACATGTACACGCCAGAATGCCCCGCTCTGTACGACACCTTCAGCAGCTCGTGCAAACGGGGCGGGTTTTAGCTCGGATGTGCGTGGTACGTCCGAAAGGAAAAGAAAACAGCACCGCATCAAACACAACCAAAACGCCGCCGAGTACATCATCAAAACAGACGAAAGCCTGCGAGAGAGCTAGGGCCAGCGGCGGGGGGTGTAGACTGACTCTCTCGACGTGTGTACGAAAAACACTCCCCACAACCACCGACGGACGCGTCCAGACTCAAAAAGAAAATATCACCTCGCCGCGTTGTGGAGCTCGAGCAGCCTGTCCAACGGATCGCCGCTGTTGCTGACGCCGTCACCCGCGGCGCTTACACCCAAGGTGGCCTCGCCGGTTTCAATCTTGTAAAAATCGCGCGACAATCCGTCCGATCCTCCACAGGTAGTGCTGCCGTCGCCCCCGCACCAGGTGTCGCAAACGCCGACTCCGCCCCTAAGTGTTGGCAAAAGGTATTAAGAGTATTTCATTTTTCGACGAGGGCAGGTGAAGAAAACCGAACGTCCTTCATGCGCACGCTCTTGGTCACGCATTAGCGACGGGATGGCACGCATGTATTGGGTATTGTTATGAATTCTGTCGGCGATCAATCCGATACACATGCCGAATAGAGAGAGAGGGGGGGGGGGGGGTGAGGGCGTGTCTTTGACTGACAAGGACCGAGCCAAAAGTCAGGTTGTGCTATTCCTTCAAAAATGACCCCACTCTCAGCGGGACACAAGAAGGTACCACACGTAAAGAGTATCCTACGTAATCCACTGCCCCCCCCCTTGACAGGCGGGCGGCCGAGGAGATCGGAACAACGGTCCGTGCTACAAGCATCTATCCGATTCGTGTGCTTCAGGGCCGATTCGTGTGCTTCAGGGTTGGGGACACTAGTTGAGCATGGGAGGTGGACAAACGACGAGAGCGCGGTCCTAGGATTTAGAGCGAAGTCCAAATGTGGCCGCCGCTGATGCTGGCGCTGCTGTCTTCCTAGGATGGCCAACGCGCGAGATACCACTCGGTAAAACCCACAGGCAGTAATTCTTGGTACGTGATTCAGCAGGAGGAATGCATACTGCGGTGCCTCCCCCCCCCCCTCATACGAATCACCCAAAGATGTGCACCAAAGCAAGTCGACGTGACCAACAACAAGTGCAACGTGTATCCACAGCCCCACGCCCCCATCGTACCCTCCTTGTCGCCTCCACCCTCGCACTAGACCCCCCCCCAGCTGAGAAGCTATGTTCGTACACCGAAACACATTTGACGACCCCCCCCCTCCTCTGCCTCGGCCAAAACTGTGCTGCTGCTGCCGCTGTGGTCGCCTTGTCAGCGAAAGTCCGATCACCTGTCCCGTCCCGTCCCGGCTGTTGACGGGAACGGAGCTTATTTGATATTCGCCAATACGGGCATGAATGGACATGAATACCTCTCCCCCTGCCCCCCCCTGCGAGCGCGAGCGCCGTGTACACTCGCTCATGAAAACGTCCCTGCAACAGCATAGAACCGCAGTGTAGATCCCAGACAAACAAACCAAGACGTCCAACCGTTCCCTTCCCGCACACCCGGAGAGATTGAATACCCCCCTCTCCCCCCCGCTGCTCCCGCTTCGGTGTTTGTCATCGGGGTTGGGTTTTCGTCGCTTGGCAACGACGTTGTAAAACATGCCAATTCACTTCGTGAGCTCGGCAACCAGTTTACTGCATTCGTTATTGCCTCTGTTTTTGTTTTTGCGGCAACCATGAATGGTGGTCGAGTAGATCATGTGCGGGGTCGAGAACCCTCACTCCGCGCAAGGGGGATGATCGCACCACGCTGTGTTAAAATGGCCAAGCACCCTCGAGGTAGTTACACAGTGCTTACAACTGTCTCTGGAAGTGAAAGCACCGGAAAACAAATAAAGTCATACGCAGCTGGCATCCGTACGCAAGGAAGTAAGCACAAGATGCCCAACAGCCTTAGCAGGATGCAGCGCACCCTTCATGCGACTCGCCAAATACCTCACGGCGCTTCGCGTTCGGTGATGTGAGAGCCTGGTCCGGTGATATCCCGGCGTGCTCCTTCCCGGCTTTGTAGGGATGCGAGGTCAATGGTCTAACGACTACGGCATGCACGACTATGACTACACCCGCCCGCCCCCGAACTGCTCCCTCCTCTCGAGGACGTGTGGTCAATGGTGTATCCGCTAAGGCATGCAAAACACGAGTACGCCCCCCCCCCTCCCCTGAGAAGTACTGACTCACGAGCTGTAGTCAAAATGTGATTCCAGCGAGCACCAGCACCGGCTGCCGTCCTGAGTGGCGAAGTAGGACGACCCCTCGTGGACGCAGCTCTCGTAGCACATCTGAGATTACGTGTGACACCACAGGGACCGACACAGGCAGGGGGGGGAGTATTGGAGAGCGAATGACGTGAAAGAGTGGTTGACGTAGGCGCGATAGCGAGGGGGGTCGTGGTAGAACTCAGACGCAGATGCCAAAACGCGCCGAAAATTGTAAAAGGTGTGAAAACTTCAACGCATGTGACATATAGGCTGAGACGGCCCCAAGCATGAGGCTCGTCGCCGGGCAGGCTGCCCCAAACACTGAACCCCACCCCCCGCCCACATGCCCACATATGTAGAGACACATGCTCGGAAACAACAACAGCAGCAGCAGCCGCGAACAATTGAAACCGTGCGCAAAGAAGATAAGCTCCCTTCTCTTTCCGAACGGAATCCATCCACCCCATAGGTGGAGGCAAGAATGAAAAGGTTCCGACCATCCCACCCACCCTCCAAGATTCTCGAAAAAACTAAATTACGTTCAGAGTCAAGGCAGCGACATCCAGCGTCGCCAACAATTGAAATGGGTGCGCTTGAAGAATAGCTCGGTTCTCATTCCGAACGAAAGCCTGCCCCAGAGTCAAGGCAAGAACGTCGATGCCAAGATTTTGACCCCCTCCCCCTCCCTCCCCCCAAGATTCCCGAAAATTACGTTTAGAGTCAAGGCGGCGATATCCAGCGTCATGGTCATCTCGCTGTCCGCCGTGTCCCGTCGAAAGCAGCCAAGGTGCCTGTAACCGGCCTCGAGTCTGCGCTTTCGGCCGGCACTCTCCCCCCCCCTCGCCGACTGCTGCCCGTCACCCCCCTGACAAGTGTAGCGCACGTGCCGCCGATCCATCCGCAAGCACAGAGGAGGGGGACAAGGGTTATGGGCGGTTAGGCTCTCGCGTGCGACGGCCCAGGGAGGGTACATCTTTTGATCGCTGCCTACGGGTACAGCAGCACGTGCAGCCGCAACAACAACGCGACCAAGAAAAAAAAAAAAAGAGGAGGAAATGCACAGGTATCCATCATCAAACAGCCCCATGCATACTATATCTTGATCTTCCACGAAGAAGGAGGCTTCGAAGGAGACAGACATCGCACGCCCAAAAGTGCTCATCGATCCCACGCGAGCGTGCTCGGCGTTTGTCCCCCACTGGACTGCGCCGATCGACGCTGGACACGCGGTCCACTTGGAGCGCGGCCGTGAAGGCTTGAGGCTCACGAATCTCAGGGCGGTGGTCACTACTTGAAAAACGCAATCGACATTTTTGGAACGAACGAACTGCTGCCTCCTGGACACTCCGGGTTTCACCGCGAGCTTGTCAACAAGCACTTCAAGACATCGGCCGTTTTCGCGTTCATGATATCTGTGTCTAGACTTGGTTGATCATCGGGCCCGTACACGCGGCCCCAACCCCCCACGACGGCACATGCCTCTTAGCGATGATGGTAGACATAAGGGAGTCATGATGTACCCCACCGCTGCCATGTGTAAAGGCTAGAATATGATTCTTCTGCCGTCGCTAACCATGCAGGATTGCAGGTTCTCTTGGTACATGTATGAATATGAATTTTATCTGCTCGCTCTACCCGACCCGTAGAGAAACTGCTGACTGTGTGACGCCTGGGTCGGGGACTGTCTGGCAAGCGGCAAAGGCCGCACACAGGGTACACGGACAAATGGACCCTGCCCAGGTCGACAAACGGGAGTACGCCAATGTGAAAATCGCCTTGGTTGTTCCAAGGGTGTGACTGGCCCATAAACTGTGCGATAGCCTGCAGACAAAAGAAGGCAACGGTCCCCCGCCGGCCGGATCTTGCATGTGTCACACAAGGGTGAAAAGTTCGTCACACAACGACCAAGAGACCAAGAGCCCAGAACCGTCTCCATGTACAGGGGACGAACGAACACAACATACACAACACACACAGAACCACCAACCAGCAGTAAGGCCAACATCAACGACGAAGGCGACGGCCAAAGGCAGCGCCAACAACACCAGCCAGCACCAACAACGCCGACATCGACGACATCGACGACGACGACGACGACGACGACGACCGCTACAAGATGCCGAATCGTTCTCTTTAACAAAGATGCTAGTATTTGTTTTTGTTTTTGTTTTAAAGCCGCGGTCGGCGATCTTCTCCGAGAGCCCGCCAAGTGTAACTGGCCGACATCCCGAGGACAGGGAGGGGCGAGGCGAGATAAATGCCCCGGAACCGTCAAATCTCTGATGAAATATCGGTCACCCGTGAAAGACCTGTCACCCATGGGATGCCGGCTGTGACGGTATAATAGTTCGCGTACGGTCGTGAGTCGGCTCCTGAATCGGCACTATTGAGGTTGGTGGTAACCTGGCGACAGACCAACCAGTGCCCAAACCAACACTATTGAAGAAGCCGCAGCAGGGTCGGGCACTACGTATGTACACTGTAGGTTCGGTCTGCTGTTGTGCGCCGAGCAATTTCACCTGCACAAGGAGGGCAGCGGCACTACTGCTGTACCATATTCAGCCGGCGTGTACTATTGAGGGATCACGGTTGTTTTTTTGTTTTTTTTTGCTCTCTGGTGACAGCTGACAGTTACCAGCTGGCTTGATTGGCGCACCCGGGCTTCCCTTTTCCAGAAGCTGAGCTTTCGAACCTAACGGTTGCACTACTGCTGTCAACGAGTATGCGCAAGCTGCTGCAAACTCATGTTGCGTAATCCTGTGTGAAGGATCCAACATGAGTATATGAATCAATTGCTTCTGATACGAGAACCTCAGGCTTTCTTCGCCCACGCACACCTGCCGCGCCCCGCGCTTTTTCTGCCTTCCGGGATGACCACAGAATTTTCAACCCACCAACTACCTGTACCTCTGCTCTCACCTCACTACTCGCTTGCATGTCACAGCTGAGGCCAATTTCGCGGCGGCAATAACATACAGCAGTCCTTTGCGGAAGCTGATTCGGTATGTAGGATAGGTCTGGCGGGCGCTCAATGACGTAGGTCATGCGTGGTGCGCAGAACAGGATTCCTTCTCATCTGCCGCCTCCAGCAATCGGTCTGGATAGTGCGGGGATGAGCGCCGGAGTGCTGGGCCGGACCCAATACCCCCTGACCATTGCTACTCTAGCACAGCAGCTTGCTAACTGGTATCTACAGTACTGGATGCAAAATAGCCCGCAACCCTCTGGTAAGGGAGCCCCTCTAGTCTCTGTATCTTCCCTGCTGACCGCCCCGCCCACCTGCTTTGGGTCACCGCTGTGTCCGTATACCACAGCAGTAGCGGTCCATGAAGCGAGGCAGAGCGCAGCCACGCCGCGGCGTCTTGTCACCCTGCCGGCGAGTGTTCCGGGGAAGGGGTTGGCCGTAATGTTGGTGAAAGCAACCAATGTTCCATGAGAGAAAGAGAGCAAAGTCACATGAGAACACGCGTGTGTGTGTTGGCGAGGATGGAAGGCTGCCTGCCGCACGCGCGCCGCGATACCATTCCGAATATCGAAAAAAGCGCACCCGGGGAAGAACTCCGGAGATGAGGTGCAGAACAGACAAAAACAAGCTGGAGAAGTCACCCCGCGGGTGAAACGTGTGTGCTGATGCACGGACGAGCCGTTTCGGCGAACGAGATCGAGTCCAGGGGGGCCGCCGTGAGCGCAATCTCCTAATTGCAAACTGCCAGTTGGGACTACACCCAACTCTCACATCATGTGTATCATCCCATCTGACAAACAATCCCGGCCCCTCCAGCAGTCGTGCGTAAACTCACATTTCGTCGGAGTAGACCGTTGACCCCCTTTGCCCTTCTCCTGTTCGTTTACGTGAGATGTACCGCCCGGGTTGTGAAGGTGTTTAAGGAAGCGGTCGGTTGCGTGTGCGTTGGGCTCTCGCCCCACATCTCGTTGTGTTTTCGACGCCGACATGCAGGGGGAAAAGCTGGATCTTCCGCACCGGGGGGAAAGCTGGGTCTTGCCGGCACACTTTTTCGCGGTTACCCGTGAAAACGATAGGATTCATGCAGGACGTCGTGAGGGTCAAATGTAAAATTAGACATGAGGGGAAGGATGACACCTGAACACGCAAGCCCGCGCTGGAGAACCGACAAAGGTGCTACCCAGGCAAAACAACCAACCAAAGAAGAGGAAAAAAATGAAAGGCCGCGCTGTGGGTTTCGCATGATACCCTCCTTTAGTACGCACCGACGTACCGACGTACATGCATACCGATATTTGTCCAACCGCACCACACCGCATCGGGCGTCTGACGGTAAATACCACTCCCTTCTCTTCTGCTCTGACGGTAAATACCACCCCCTCTAGGACAATCCTTCGCAAAAAAAAAAAAATGATGCAGTCTGGGGACCTTGCCAATACATCAACACCCGTACACCGCTATACTCTCGCAGTACAGGGCCCGTGCGCGTGGATGGAGTAACGCACGGCTGCTGCTGCAGGATCGTGCACTTCTTCGCCCGCTCCCTGTCGCTCCCTCTCTATATCTATCTACGGCGAAATTTCTGTCTCTGTCGACAGAATAGCAAGAGGTCGTTTGCCAACAGAAAAAAAGCGGCATTCGCGGCCCAAAACAACAGCCATACTACGGCGGACGACGAGGCGCTGCACACAAGAGGTAGGTTTGGGACGTCGGGTACGCGGGGTTGGGAGTCTGGTGTGGCGGGTGATCCAACTTGTACGCCCTCCTCGGGGCGGTTGGTCCACTCAACAGGTTCGCCCCCCTTTGCGGTTGCATGTAACTTGGCCTCGTTGATATTCTTGAAAGAGGCGAGGAGGCAAAAGGAGCCTGTACACAAAGAGGGCTGTGGTTGATAGCAGTATGTCGACATCTGTCATCGCAGCGTCATGAGCAGCAGTGGCGGGCGATGGCAAGGCCTTTCTCCCGCTCGCTCGGGAGGCGGGGTCGACCCCCGTGCCGTGCACGGAAGAGCCACCCCTGCTGAGCAAGCTCGCATGCCTACTGTCCTCTCAGGTGCAGCAGCAGCAGCAGCAGCAGGAGCGCCTGCCTCCTCGAGGACATCAGCAGCGGAGGGAGCAGGCTCTGCACTACGGGAAACATGGACCGATCTTTGGCAGAGCATTCAGGGGCCCCTGAGGCGGGGATACAGCAGCCTGCAGCGAAGACGCGCGGTGGCGAAAGTAGTCAGGTGTGCTGGTCGCTGGGAAACCCCAATGTTGGCGCCCCTTGTGTGCTTCCTGTGTGTGATGGCCTTTTCGCCAGAAGACGCCAAGTCAACAAGCACCATCCGCGTGTCGTGCAGGATTGTTTTTGGCCCGAATTTATATTTTCGGTACACTAATGTTTTCCCATATGTCGCAAGAGCATCCAAGCCTACTTTACACCGCTGTCTACGCAATCAACCACACATTCAATCCAACTGGCATCGTTCACGTCCATCCGTACCCGCCCCGGTGCGGAAAGAGCAACGTCCCGCACGGCGGTATGAGGCGACAGCACACATGGCCCGCAGTGTTTGCATTGCACGTTCCAAGAATGCCCACAGCTTTTCTTCCTCTCCGCTTTTTTTTGCGGTTGCTGCTGCCTGCTGCGGCGCGTGCACGCTATCGACGCACGTATTCTTTGAAAGATCGAGGGTACGAAGAGGCAGAGGAAAGCCCGAAGAGGTAGAAAGACGCAAGTAGCCTCTCAGGCTCGTTTCCCGCCGACACAACAGCAATACGCTTCTGTCTGCTGTCGTAGTGTGCAAGTAGTTTTGTTTGCGCAAAAGCGGGGGCTGTCGGCGTGTAGTAGCTGGCTGCACATTGGTGGCATGTGAAAACAACTCAAATTGCCTCTCTGCCTGAATTACTTGCCTGCGCCCTGGTGTTAATATTTAGTACCGCCACCTGCGTGCGTACACTTGGAGATTAGATCCGATTGATGGTGTGTATGTGAGAGAGAGAGAGAGAGAGATTGAGATTTTCTAGGGTCCCGCGTCGTCATCGCGTTTCGCACACCCTGGGTCTCTTCAACAGCAGGCGACCTCTCTTGTGGCAAAAAACGTACATACAGAAGGCGTAGCGAAAGTGTTCTTGAGACGGTGTAGTGTAGCCACCTGTGGATAGGTTCACGGACGACGGCATCTCAGGCTCCGATCGGTCTCCCGCTCTTTTTGCTCTTTGCCGCACCTGTGGGAGCGGCCCTTTTTGTCCGTCCATGGATTGAACATGAGTCCAGGGAGGAAAGTAAGCGGCGCACCGCGCGAGAAATGAAAAGAAAAACGTGCGCGCGATGTGTGTTGAAGTGCGAAACAACTTCCGTGTTGTACCTAAGAGAGCTGATTTTCAACGCATCGATTTCCGCGTTTCCTCCTGAGAGTCCCTAAGGGAGTATTAATAGTAGCATGCATCAGGGAACGGGGGGTGTCAGACAGGGGGTTGGGCTGCTGTAGTCTGGGGCGGCAATCTCGACCGTTGGCCACATTTTTCTCTCTAGCAATTTTTCTGCTGTCCAACCATGCGCGTAATCTGGGGAACGCTATGCACTTGTAGGATGGGCTTCAGGAGTAGGTGTTTAGGTAGTAGTGCATCAGTGGGGTGTGTACATGTATGCGCTACCTGTACATGTATGCGCTACCTGTACATGTATGCGTACTACCTGTACATGTATGCGTACTACCTTCAACCGCAAGTGCGCGGCACGAATCCGAACAACGGTACCTGTAGTTCTTGGTCGTCACTTGCGACTCAGTGCTCACGGGTGGCTTGGGCGTTCGTGGTGATGGATAAAAGCGTGTCAAGTCGGAACTGCGGCAGCAGCAGAAATCGCAGGTTATTACTGCTGTTATTGTTGGCCTTCTGTTTGGGCACGAGGATGGGAAAGAGAGTGTGCCAAAGGCATGACTTTTGTTGTTCGATTTCACGACACTCTTTCAACTGGTAGAACGTGTCTGGTGCGCAGCAGCCTGTCTGCAGGGGGCTGGGGGCGCGTGAGAGGGCACGAAAGCGTACACAGCAGTACAGGTACTTGACTTCTTTTTTTTCGGTTGCGTGCAACGAGCGCGAGAGAGAGTAAGCCACGAGCGCCAACCATCACAAACGACGACAAGTTTAGGATGCTTTGGAATACTGGTATCGTACATAGAAGGGAGCGCATCAATGCTGTATGCATGCAGGCATCGAGTAGAAGTATTACCCCCTCGTGCTTTGTAACGTTGTTTTCACGTGCGAGAAAGCTAGAAAGCTTGGACCCTTGTTCGGCAAGGCCTAATCTTGGGAAGCAGGGAACGGAACAACGGGGTCCCTCTCCCGTAGGCTCTTCGTCGCCGTGCTTGGCTCGAGCGACTGGGCCATAGTCATGGATCCCGCTTTGTTTCTTGGCACTCATGATCATGCATCCCCACAGCAGTATGCAGGAATATGTTGTGTATCAAGGGTGCATGAAGGATGTTTCTCTCACACCGCCGTATGCATATGTGTTGTAGATGTACGTACTTGTACCTCCAGAGGGCGTGCTGGAGACGGGGGGGTTACTCTAAAAGCAAGTCAAGCAGTAGATGAGAAAAAAAGAGTGTTTCGTCTGTTCTCCCAAAATATGCATGTTCAGTTGCGGCGCTTTACCTCTCACACTGCCCACCTATTTAGGTTAAATGACGCAAGAAGGGTTCACCCCCCCCCTCCCTTCCTTGAGTTTTTCTCACGAACTACCCTCTCCCATACCAGTTAGTGTGTTGGTACATCCACACCTTACCGAGAATCGAAACCTCGACCCTACCAAGTTGTAGGCACACCAACTGCTGTAGCAATATTTGTTCAGACTTTTTCTGGGGCGGCGGCCAGGAAAAGGCATTTCGATGCCCCCCGCTTTTCTCCCTTTCTTCCGCCCGTTGGGCGCGGGGGGGGTGGGGGTCTTGCGTCAGCGTACCGTCTCGCGGAGAGCGCTCACCGAGACGGCTGAACTTCAGGCGACCTCGTAGTCGAAGAAAAGATGGAAAGACGGGGACGTTTTTTTGTTTTTGATGTACTGATCACTGCTCAACCACCGGAGACAGACCGCCACGTGCCACGTAAAGGGACGACAAGGTTTTGTTGGACTCGCTGCATGCCGGTTTTGAGGGGGGATCACCGCTGGTCGTGCCATGTCTTCACGAAGTGTCGTTCGTCGGAGTCGCCGCGACTTTTTTTGGTGCTCGCGGTGTGGGCGCGCGCTTCTTGGTCGGCGCCCGCGTTTCTTGGCCTCTGCTAGTAGAGGGCAGACAGCAACGCGGGTGCGCCTTGCTCAAGAGTGCTTGCTGCTTTGCTGCCTGCCGTCCGTACAGCCCTGCCAAGCGACTCGCCGTTCAAGCGGGGGGGGCGTATGTCATACCACAGGTTGCTCCTGCGTAGCGAGGCTCTCCAAAGTACTTTTGATTATAAAGCCCCACATCGCTGCAAGCACTCCGCCCGCCCCCCGCTGTGGAAACAATGCTCCGTCCTCTCGAGGACGCGTAGTCAATGGTCTAACAGCTAGAGGATGCAAAACATGAGAGTACGCCTCTCCCCCCCCTA